ATCTGCAGATTCTCAGCAAAAGCCATCAGAATACACACCGTCTGGATCCACTTCTCTGGCAATCTTCAGAGCTTCTGATGTGGCAAGGTCGATATTAGCAGGAGTCACGGCAAGAATAATACAGTTAGGATTACTGATATACTGGAGAATAAGGTGACGGATTTGATGTTCAATATCTAGTGGCTGATCTCCAACAGGCACCTAAAAAAATTGAACCAATCAAAATAATGGCAATACAATGTACATCTGCAGTTCTCAATCCATATCCATGGGGTATTGATCAAGCGTGATGTCAAGATTGCTGGATATTGCATGCTTAAGGACTGATACAGAGTCACGGTCTATAAAGACAAAAAAGGGAATGAAGGCAATATCCAACCATCTTTACCATCAAGACTGGTTAATGAAGGATTTATTGCATGAAAAAGGACACTATTTTCTTATGGGATATAGCTGGTAATCTCAAGCAGGCTTGGGTAGCCACTCACAGGGCAGGACTTGGCTCATCTTGCCCACTCACAGGGCTAGCCTTTATCCATAATCATTTTTATACGCCCCAAGCTTCAAACCAATTCTGAAGAGGTTTTGAGTGGTTTTATCTGGGGGAAACTTCCATCTGCGAGAGGGGAGGCGGGGGGAGGGGAGGTGGGTGTTAAGAGAAAAATGGCCCTATAACTAGGAGAAAGGGGCACTTTTTAAAGGGGGGGTCACTTTGTGTCAAAGTAAGGGTAATCACCAGATTATCATGTCATTTTTGCCACCTGTTGTAGGTTGTTTGCTTAAAAAAAGCTTACAAAAGGGGGGGTTACTGGCACCCTAGGACACCTCCCCTCCCATCCGTTTCTGGTAGAAGCCCATTTTGCTCTAAACAAACACTTGAAACATCAGCTTTTCTAAAGTCCACATACCTGTACCTGTAGTCTCTGGTTAATTTATCTTTATCAGCTTCACATACATTGGATAAATGAACTAGTTATTTTGTGTTTTACTTGCCCACAGACACAGTACGTAACACCAAGCTCTTCTTGGCTTTCTGAGAAGACTCACCTTTGTAACTCCAGGAAGATCAACCAATGTCAAATTCAAAACTTTGGGTGAGTAAATCTTTAGTCTAATTGGCTCATTAGAGATACCCTGTGAAACCAAACATCAAGACAACCAAAATATGAAAGAAAGTCTGTTAGAAGACACCTTAATTACAACTCTGTCACTGTACAATTTAGATATAACAACTCAAACATTAATTCAAGAAGTTTAAACTTTGTGCTGATGCCATCTGGAGACTGATACAGAGAACCAAACACAATGTGGCAATGAAGCTAAGCGTGTCACTGATTTTCCAAGACCCTCACAGGCTTTCTAACAGGGTGCATGAAACAAATAAAAATCGAACAGGATTTTGGAGGCAAATTGGGCATGAAAAACAATTTATTGCTTGAGGAATTGTGTGGGATTATGCAATCTTTTGATGAGCCAAATTCAAATTTCAAGTTGTTTTATTTAAAAATATGTAAGCAAATCTTTGAGTATCGTGTGGGGTTTTGTGGGGGTTTGACCAAATTGTGCGGTTCCTACACCCCTGTACCCTGTCAGAAGGCCTGCACTTGCATGCACACATTCAGTGCTTGATTACACTTGAAGCCATCTCATGAAAACATTGGAGGATAGCAGAAGAGGAGAGCAGCAATCTCCTCTGCAGAAGGGAGGTTACCATGGTAACCCAGATGAAGCCCACCTCTACACAAGACAGGGTGTGGAAGATTTACTAACCTAAGTGGGAGGGAGGCAAGGAAAACTACATACACAATGTAAACTAGCAAGCGAGCAATACACTGCAAGTAAAGTGCATGACATTGCCCCTGGAACTCCTCCAAGTACCCCCCACAAATGAGATAGACAACTGGCCAGCATTAGATAACAAACCTTGTTATTTCCTGTCACTCTCTCAGTCTCCCGTTCTATTTCGTCACAAATTTCATTAAAGTCTGTCACTTTCTGTAAAGGAATGGAATCATGCAGTTTTAAAACATGGACTGTAGATGTAGTGATAGTGTTGCACAACACATGCATACATATGTATTTCAAAATTGAATTGCTATAGGTAACAAACACCAGCCTTCTAAATTAATTCTGGCCTGTATTACAAAATCATTGATAGCAAAAGTTGTGATAAGTGCTGTTTTTTTTTTTTTNGGGGGCATGCTTATTTTTTTTTGGCACTGATCTAACTAATGGTTAGAAGGGACTAAGTTAGATCTAAAAAAAAGTTCTAAAGGTGTATATGTCATGTACACAGTACACATGTACATGAAACTTTCTAAAGATGATACACAAAACACAAAAAGGAAAACAAGTTCGCAAAGCTGTCAGTTGTAAACCTGTAAATATCCATTCTACATTCAAGGGTTCTGAAAAAATGCAAGATAGTAGACTAAGATTTTGGTTGTTTATTGTCTAGTAAGCAATTTTAGCACAGGAAGAGGGGGGAGGCTTATTATTTTGTCACTAGGTTATCTTTGCTCTAACCCTTTCTTTTAAGTGAAGAAATTTTCCCCATTCCTCTGGTTCTTCCTTGTCCTTTTCAGACTCTTCGCCTTCATCATCTGAAAAATCTGTTGCCAACAAATTAAAAATACATTACAAAAATAGCCCAAATGAAATATGCACTTTAAAATCATGTTTCTACAACTTGACAGAAACAAAGAACTAGCACAAGCTGTTGGCGTAATGACGGTATGAGCAAAGAGAATTTACATTTTGATGGTCAAAGTAAACAAGTTGTTTTCTTTTTTTCATTGCAAAAATTTCTAAAAGAACTAGAAAACATGCTCACTGTATTTCTATTGAGTTTTAGTATAAATCTATTAGCATTCTATCACGAATGTCGTTCTCTGATTGGCTACGCTACTCACTGTTTATTCTTTGATAGATAGTAACTAGCATTGCAGTGTACCCTTGTTAACAAAATGACAGCCGCTTCTTGGTGTTTTCAAAGTGTTCATGAGGAGGATTTAAATCAAATTTTGAACAAGTAGCAGATTTATATTAAAACAATTAGATATTCCATCTCTATTTCTATGCATATTAGTTGACTTGGGCTGCGCCCTTGTCAACTATCGCGTGATAGAAATCTTGAGCTCATAATCTAACTGTTTAATGGAAACACTCATGGAAGTTTGGGAGAACTTGAAAAGGCATTTCTCATTCTCGCAAACTTCCATTCATGTTTCTATAACTCGATAGAAACACAGAACATATTTTCTATTTCTTAATTAAAAATTTATGTGTCTGTTAAAACTGGAAGATGATTGAACTCTTTAAAAAGGTCTTTACACTTACAAGCTTCGCCTTCTTCNACACTTTGAGCTTTTCGAAAATGCTGACATTACGATAATCATGTGATTGCCCCGGCCAAGTTTTCCTCAAAGGCAATTCCAAAATGACTGATTATTGTTCCGTTTTCAAATTCCTCTGGCGTAGTGTGGACAGAAAACATTTGACGCGTTTTCAGAGTGAAAGTTCCGTTTTCAAATTCCTCCGGCGTAGTGTGAACGGGTACACGGTTGGCCACATCATTTGCTCTTCATTATCTGAAAAAATGAACTTTCTCACCTGCATCAATTCCATTCTCACGTTCTAGCCGCAAAATTTAGCACAAGATTATTTGTAATCTCGCTGACTTCGCTGAGGACAGGAAAATGTACTCGTCAGTTGTGAAACACCGACAGATATTAGCCAAGAAAACTCTTTGAACCTGCCTCTTCCTAAAGGAGGTAATTTAAGATTCATACCTGAATAAAAATGAGAATTGTAAAACCACTCTGATAATACCAGTTATATTCCTTGCTTATGATGGAATCATTTTTACAGTCCTCCGTCTCACAGTTAAACCTTGCGTGTCTGCTTTCTGTGTAAACCAGTCAGCTTTGCAATATCTAAATACAGTTATGAAACGATTCGAACAAGGGGTCCAATAAAATGTGAACAACTATTGACGCACTAAACTAAACAGTCCCCAGTCTTTATCAGTATGCAAGGTTTTTGTAGCTTAGAGAATATCAAGAGCTACCTGAGAAGTTCAACATCGGCTATACCAATAACTTTCTGGTAGAAATGTTATTCCGGCGTTATTGACACAAACGGAAAATCTATCTTTGAAATGTTCTTTTTTTGAGAAAATAGTTTGCACTTGTGAAATATGTTGTCACTTTTCACGATGATTACTAAGGAAAAAAAAAACAATAAGTAACATAACAAAACATGCAGCTGATCTGTGATCTGCGATATTTCAGTCTTCTATTACGTCAACCCTGACAAATACTGGTTTAATTTTAAAAAGATGGAAGTATGACATAAGTCAATCAGTGTCGGGAAACTTAAAGGTTCCTCATTAAGGTACTTCGACTTTGGCCTTCAACTTTTCAAAATTTTCCATTCGAACGATAAAATTCAACCATTACATATAAAAATTGGATTGTATTTTGCTAAAACTCGAATGACTATCAGTTCTGATTGTTAACATTTTTCCGTTATTTGTCATTCTAATAAAAGATGGCGACTGCCACATTTACTCATTATTCTTAGCGCGCTTTAATAACGCTCATGAAAACGTGCAGAAACTTTCACTTCTTCGAATCTAGCATACACAAAATGTTGCTTTCCTTGTACTTTATACTAGACTATGTAAGGTTTCTATGGTATTGTGGTAAAATGTACAACTACCATCGTTTTGTCCTACGGAAGATTGCATCTGCTGTGACGCATAGTTCTGCACACTGCATAACGGCCAAATTACCCTAACTACTTACGATTTTTAAACTGTTACTTCATTGATACAAATAGCTCAACAAGAGTGCTTACCCAAGTTTTCAATTTCCTTGGATCCAACATAGTCAGCGTAGTCCTAATCGTTCGTTAGTGGTTAATTACGCTTCCTTGACTTGGGTGGGTAAATTAAAGGTAATTTAGCGTGGCAATCTTTTAAGTCCCAAGGAAACCGAATGTTTAATCACAACTGACGGAGACTTCTTTGGTATTACGTCATCCTACCACTTAACAGTTGTATTGTAAGCAAAATGGAAGAAAATCGTTTCAGTTCTAAGCATTTCTCTGACAAAACCCGCACAATGGTTCTAATTACTGGATTCCCTCTTTATTGTCTGACAGTAGAGGCTAAAATATTTCAGATTTGGAAAGATGTATTCAAGCTATAGAGGCTTCGTGATCTTTTAGAGATTGATCACCTCCAGGTTAAGTCAATGACACATTATCGAAGTTCCAATACAAAAGGAAACTGTACTAAGCTTTTACAGCGCACTTAAATTTGTATTGGTGTTTCAGTGATATAGAGTAATTTAAAAATACTTAATAGTGTCGATTTAATCTAAATTACTGATTTTCATTTGTTGATTCAGTGACCTGCCTAATGTTATCAATACATTGTACACAAATTAACTGAAGTGCCTTTCTAATACTATTAAGTACATCTATTACATATGTATTCCCAAAGTCGTAACTAGCTCTTGAAAACCAGAATCCAATTCTAAAAAAACTGGTTGCTTTTTCTTAGTGCCACAGAAATTCTGACCAAATTCAACTCAAAATCTTAAAAACTCGCCTTAACTTTTCGGTATAACTAAATTTGCTTCGCGCTTGCAATCTCCTAAGATTGGCCCTAGTAACTTTGACAACTAGTTCGTCAGGTTGGAAACAATTTCGCAGAAACACACCCCTGTTAACTGGAACTCAGGGCATAACAAGGTTTTCCCGTGACTAGAAATTCCAGAAAACATCAAGTTTCGAAATAGCTGTACATATTTTTTGTGCCATCAATAAAGTTAAAATTTTCATGCATTGGCTTGTCCAACAATACGACTCCAGGTGGCACAAAAACACGATTTTCAACCTGTAAAAGGTTCGACGCCAATCCTTGTCTGGGCCATATGGATAGTTACTAACCCATCCCCTCGTCCCTCGTTTCAAGATCGTTCACAAATCTGCAATGATCTCTGTTTTCTTCAGGGGCGTAGCCAGGATTTTTCAAAGGGGCGTCACACTGTGTCAAAGTAAGGGTACTCACCAGATTGTCATGTCGTTTTCGACACCTGTTGTAGGTTGTTTGCTTAAAAAAGGCTTGCAAAAGGGGGGTTCCTGGCACCCTAGGACCCCCCACCCCCTAGCTACGCCCCTGATAGTGAATTGGGAAAAGTAGGAACATTTCTGTAGAAGCCCTTTTTGCTCTAAACAAACACTTAAAACATCAGCTTTAGCCCTGCTGACTGTGGTTAATTTATCTTTATCAGCTTCACATACATTAGATAAATGAACTACAGTAATTACATTTTTAAGTGTTTTACTTGCCCACAGACACAGTACAGCAACTTGGACTGACCTTTGTAACTCCAGGAAGATCAACCAATGTCAAATTCAAAACTTTGGGCGAGTAAATCTTTAGTCTAATAGGCTCACTAGAGATACCCTGTAAAACCAAACATCAAGACAACCAATTCAAGACAACCAATTCAAACAATTCAAAACTTTGGGTGAGTAATTCTTTAGTCTAATAGGCTCACTAGAGATACCCTGTGAAACCAAACATCAAGACAACCAAAACATGAAAGAAAGTCTGTTAGAAGACACCTTAATTACAACTCTGCCACTGTACAATTTAGATGTAACAACTCCAACATTAATTAAAGAAGTTTAAATTTTGTGCTCAGCCTGATGCCATCTGGAGACTGATACAGAGAGTCAAACATGTTGTGGCAATGAAGCTAAGTGTGTCACTGATTTTCCAAGACCCTCACAGGCCTTCTAACAGGGTGCAGGAAACAGATTAAAATTGAACAGGATTTTGGAGGCAAATTGTGCAACAAAAAAACAATTGATTGCTTGGGGAATTGCATGAGATTATGCAATCTTTTGATGAACCAAATTTAAATTTCAAGTTGTTTTATCTAAAAATATTTAAGCAAATCTTTAAGTGTTGTGTGGGATTTCGTGGATTTGGAGAATTGTGCGTTATTGTGTGGGTTCAACCAAATTGTGCGGTTCTTGCACCCTTCCACTCTGTCAGAAGGCCTGCAATTGCATGTACACATTCAGCACTTGATTACACTAGAAGCCACCTAAATATTGGCGGGTAGCAGAAGAGGAGAGCGGCAATCTTCTCTGCAGAAAGGAGGTCACCATGGCGACCCAGACAAAGCCAACCTCCAGGCCAGACAGTGTGTGCAAGATATACTAACCTAAGTGGGAGGGAGGGAAAACTAAACTAGCAAGTAAGCAATACTCTGCCATTACAATGCATGAAATTGCCCCCGGAATTCCTCCCAGTACCCCCCACAAAGATTCATTTCTGTCAACTTTGCCTAAAATAATTTTCTTTCTTCACAGGATATATGCCCTTTCAAAACTCTATTTTGGCTGGATAAAATAAAAAATATATATCATTATCATTATCATTATCATTATCATTATCATTATCATTATCATTATCAATATCAATATCATTATCATTATCATTATCAATATCAATATCATTATCAATATCAATATCATTATCAATATCAATATCAATATCAATATCAATATCATTATCATTATCATTATCATTATCATTTTCATTATTATCAATAAAAATATATTAAATTGCCAATTAACAAACCTTGTTATTTCCTGTCACTCTCTCAGTCTCCCGTTCTATTTCTTCACAAATTTCATTGAAGTCTGTCACTTTCTGTAAAGGATTTAGGAATCATGCAGTTTTGAAACATGGCCTGTAGATGTAGCGATAGTGTAGCACAACACATGGATACATATGTATTTCAAAATTGAATTGCTGTAGGTAACAAACATCAGCCTTCTAACTAAATTCTGCCCTGCGTCATTGATAGCAAAAGTTGCGACGTACATGTAGGTACTGTTTTTTACTAAGGTGGGGNGGTAATACTTATTTTCATATGGCACTGATCTAACTACTGGTTAAACGGGACTAAGTTGGATCTAAAAAAAGTTCTAAAGGTGTATATATCATGTACACTGTATACGTGAAACTTTCTAAAGATGATACACAAAACACAAAAAGGAAAACAGGTTCCCAAAGCTGTCAGTTGTAAACTGGTAAATATCCATTCTATATTCAAAGGGCCCTGGAAAAATGCATGATATTGGCCTAAGATTTTAGATGTTTATTGTCCAGTAAGCAGTTTAAGCACAAGAGGGGNGTTTATTGTCTAGTAAGCAATTTTAGCACAGGAAGAGGGGGGAGGCTTATTATTTTGTCACTAGGTTATCTTTGCTCTAACCCTTTCTTTTAAGTGAAGAAATTTTCCCCATTCCTCTGGCTCTTCCTTGTCCTTTTCAGACTCTTCACCTTCATCATCTGAAAAATCTGTTGCCGACAAATTAAAAATACATTAGAAAATAGCTCAAAGGAAATATGCACTTTAAAATCATGTTTCTATTGAACAATTAGATTATGAGGTCGAGATTTCTATTGCGTGATAGTTGACAAGGGCGCAGCCTGAGTCAACTATCGTGCAATAGAAACCAAGAGCAAATAATCTAATTGTTTCAGTAATCTATTAGTCATTCAAAACTTTATCAAAATCCTCTTAATAGACACTTCAAAAACGCCAAGAAGTAGTCGTCATTTTGTTAACAAGGGTACACTGCTACGCTATTCTCTATTATCACAGAATAGATAGTGAGTAGTGTAGCCAATCAGAGAATGGCATTCATGATAGAACGCTAGTAGATTCATACTAAAAGTCGATAGAAATATGGCTGAACATATTTTCTATTTCTTAATTAGAAATTTATGTGTCTGTTAAAACTGGTGGGTGGTTGAACTTTTTAAAAAGGTCAGTAGCTTTACACTTACAAGCTTCACCTTCTTCGTCATCCTCCAAGTCTTTTGGTTTCTCCTCCTTGGTTGACTTCTTAGATGTTGTGGTCTTGTTCTTTGGTGGAGTGTGAACTAATTGAAGAATCAGTGGTCTTCGGGTAACAACTCCAGATCCTTAAAGGAAGATTGAACTCACAGTGATGCCCTTGAAGTAAAATCTGACGTGGCAATTCTAAAACAGCTGCAATACAGTTGTTTATTACAGTTGTGGTACACTTCAATATTCAACACAAATGTTTACAACTTCTGTAAGTAGCTGCGGTGCTAAATCATTATTTTTCAAAATTGAATTACCTCGTGGTAAAAAGTCTCTTCCAACAAGGTTTTCAAGGACAGAACTTTTTCCACTACTCTATGGGGAGAAAAAAAAATATTAAATGATTAAAAATACAATGAAAAATTCAACAAACACATCACTTGATGGAGGTTGGGTGCCTACATGTAGATTATTGAATAATGCTTCTGTGCCTGGCACCTTCTTAAAATCCTGCATCAAGGCCTTATATCAGGCAAGTCGTGACTTATATCAGGCAACAGGCATCCATCATACTGACCTGTTATAATATACAATGTATACAGGGAATGATTGTTATTTACTTAATCAATCCCCCACAATAGCATGTTAGCCTTGCCCTGTGCAGTTTCATGTGCAACGACAAAGAAAAGGTTAATCAGCATTGTCATATTATTAGCTATAGTTTAGTTTTATCTAACATGGCCTCTTATTGGCTGATTTGCAGTCATGTGGCAATGGCTAAATTTAAATTTTGCCCTTTGGCTGCCCAGTGGGTCACAATTAAGCATTTGTTGCCCACTCTCCAACCAACCAGACATTACTTTGACTTGGTGGTAATTACTTTACACTAAATTTCAGCTATATAACAAAACACTTAATTACTGGTCCTTTGGGAGAAAGTAAGTTTTGTTCTTCCTCAAATTTCAAGATTCTTGGGGAAACAAAACTGTCTACCTTGGGACTGGTAATGAAGTGTATAATTTACTGTTTGAAGTTTCTAGTCTAGGCTGATGTCTTTGATGGACATCTCCAGTTTAGGACTGAGCCATGAACATGTCTAATGCAAGAATCTAATCAGTTTAGAAGAAAGCCAATTCATGACATTTTTCCAAATAGGCAAGATAATAACTTAGCAAGTCCAAAATTTGTCCTTGCAACTGACTCAAGTGTGACTCTTAAACTTAAGTTGAATTCAAGCAGAGGTGTCAAATTTAACTCTCAAATGTTTCTTTCTCTCATATGTGCACTGTATACATAAATACAATTGTAGACACTGCCTTGTTGCTGAGGGAAATCAAATTCACAGGAAATCAAAATTCTCCGACCAAAGAGAATGATAACTCTGCATTAGGGCGTACAAAGCAAGATAGGGCAAATATTATGCTGCCATTTCGCATTGTGTACAGGCCAAGGACAAAATGTCTCCTTACTTCGACAGCTTATAACGATTTCAACAAATTAAATACATGGCAAACTAACTTGTATAGAGCGTTTTGGAAATATAAAAACAAAATCACACCATTCTGTATAACACCTGTCAAACAATCAGTAATTTAATATCGATTGTCTTCGCATAATATCAATCTTATTCCAGTGAAAAAGAAAACATCTTTCGCTTTCGGTTTCCCGCCGTATTTCGCAACGTGGGTAATAAAGTAAAGTAAACTCAAAATTTAAGGAAAAAATTGACATCTTCCCTGACAAGGTAAGTAAAAGTGAAACTATGATTTGACCAAATGGCAAATGTTAACACAGACGCCGTCGATCTTTCTGGATCAACTGGTTAGAAAATTGCAAATTGGTGAAATCAGCGAGTGTTAAAATATTTCCAAAATAAACTGTACAAACCTGGGCGCCCACAACTACAATTTGAGGCAGCTGAATGGCCTCTGATCCTACTGTATTGAACACATCTTGAAGCTTGTTAATCACAGGAATAAGCTGATCCATTTATTTGAGGAGAAATAATAATATTATGCTCTGCCGGTTCACAGGTTTTGAACTGCTTTATTTTGGACTTCGCCTAAAACGATCGCCGAGCATTGGAGCATCTGTTTTGTTGCAACGCTGCTGACCAAATGTTGGTGGCCTCAGACATCCTCGTCCCCAGAGCCTCCGGGCCGTGCTCGCGGTTGTTTTTCTTGATCCAATGGACCTTTTTACCGATGTCACGCAATATCAACAATTTTTCGTATTTTTTAAATAAAATAAATCACTTTCATAGCTAGTTCAATTTATCGTGCCGAATGCAGTAAATCTATGAATTCTCATAAGAATACGTTGGGATCCCACACTTGCAAAGAAATGTATACCAGGGGGCAAGAGTGAAGTAGCCTGAACTGTCAGTCATCTCCCGCCCCTGGCGTTAACCCCGAGGGTGATGCTGAGGACAGGAAATGACTGACATTTCAGGTTAGGGGGCAAGCGTTGCCCTCTAGCATACATTTCTTTGTAAAAACTGGCAAGTTAAAATATAAGGGTTCAATCAGACTTTATGAGTTTGCGACGGCCTCTAATGAAACTGTACGTGATAAATCGGACGGTGCCAGATTATTTTTTGTTTGATCATGAGTGAATAAAATCGATCGGAAAAACGTGACTTCGTTGAAAAGGTCTAAACGGGATTTTGAATGAGGAAAGTGGGGGAAGGTGGCGGGGGGGGGGTGGGGGGCAGTGTGGAGGGTAAGCAGGAGTATTGTTGGCGCGCGAGCGAGCATTTTCATATTAGGCCGCCATCTATTACAATCCAATATGGTAAAGTCTGCATACGAGCCAAGTGGTCCATCAGGCCGGAGCTTATCTCGGTTTCAGTGGCATGAAGCGACTAGGAGTATTTCTACTCCCCCCTGGATGGGATGCTAGTCCATTGCAGGGTTACCCACGGTATTAAGTTCGCCGGTACCCATTTATACACCCGGGTAGAGAGGGGCAGTGTGAGTAGTGTCTTGCCCAAGGACACAATGCAATGTCCCCGGCCAGGGCTCAAACGCGGACTGCTCGATTCCAGAGACGAGTGCACTAACCACGAGGCCACCGCGCCTCCCACATTCAATATGGCGGCATCGAAAACCTGGTATATCGAACGTTATGTTCCAAAATAACGACCTTAGTCTTCGATGGTATTAATGACATTTGACTGGGCCTTCTTAAAAATAAAGTAGGCTATCTTGGGCAACTCATTGGAACGTATCAGCAGACAAGTAAAAAAGATTGTACGTTTTATTTCACGTCTATATACACTTTTTGTTTGTTTGTTTAAATTAAACACGGGAGTGGTCAATAATTTAAGGAATAGCTATTTCACGCTCGCTCATAAGTCAGAAAAACAGCTGGCAACATTCACGCTCTTACTGCACCATTAGATTTAGGTTCGAACAAATAGCGAGATTTATTTTCTGCATGAACCCTAGACATGATGATTTAGCCATGTTTAGTTTTGTGAACCCTTCAGATCAACCTCGCTCCCATGGTCCGTCCCATGGTCCTCTCTCGTTCTCGAGCGAGGAAGAGGAAGGGCCTTGGGAACGAGCATTTCTTCTAATAAGATTGTCAACGTGCAAATCAAACTGAACGGCGGATTGCTCCAGGGTAAACAGCTTTCAAATATTAATTTAAAAAGACGACAAATGATTGACTACAGAAAGTAAATCTAGTTCTGATTATGAGAAAGAGCTCCTGACTGCTGTATTGCGCACTAAAACTTTGATTAGGGGCTCCACCATGTTACATGTAAAAAATAAAATTAAGTAATCGATTATATTATCTTTTCGATATTTTTCACACATTATTTCAAACCCTATTCAATTTCAAATAGTATTCCTAAATCATACACGCTTGTTTCGACTGTCTTTTGGCTTTCACGTTGAAATTCACTTTCCAAAGAAGTACTTTGTTGGCAAAAAAGGCATCTTCACAACTTGAGCCTCGATCTTTTTCTTGTACACTTCTAACTGGAGAGATGTCCCAGGTTTGGCGAACTCTGACGTCACGTAAGCCATTGCAATGTTCTGCTTGAGACTGGGTGACGGGCATCCACTGGTCACGTGACCTAGAAATTCGGGAAGAGTGAACACGGATACAGTCTTGTGTCGTACATGAAAGAAAGGTTTTGGCAGTCGTATGGTACGTGGTGCAATAGTTTGTGCAGAATTAAGAGAGGATAAAGCCCCGGGGCCCTGAATGGCCATGTATAGGTAAAAAGGTTACCACTAACATTTCGCGTAAATTCTCTGCCTTGTAACGTGTAACGCGCATTAAGCGTGATCTTGTGAATAAACTCGATTGCTGACGGCTCCCTCTACTATTTGTTGTATTATTTGTCTCCTTTACTTAGAATAGAACTGTTTTCTATTAGGCTGAGCGAAGCGGAAGAGAAAAGAACTTCTGTTAAAAGTGATAATGATTAATGTACCTATTTTATTCCCATCGGAATCCAGAATGGTTGTTCCACCTAAAAAGACATAAATTTTTAACAAGGTAAATTAACTATTAGATTGCCCTGATAGGCTACTAAATTCTCAGAACTGGCACAAAAAAGAAATGTGCGAAAATCACTAATGAGAATTGATTACCTCTTGCAGGAGGTCCTTTAGAAACCAGGCCCACTCTTTTCCTTTTAGCTTTTTCTTTGATCTGTCTCAGGATTATTTCAGCTCCAGGAAAATCTGCTTGGGCGCGTCGCCTCTTCCCTTTAACGACGAAAAGTTCAATAAGAAACTAGGTAATATGCTTTTTGTAGGGTTAATTTAGTGCAGTGTAATATAGTGCAAAGCAATATAGTGTTTATTCATTGCAGTGCAGTGTAATGCACAACAGTGTAACGCAGAGTAGTGTTATGTAGTGCAGATTAGTAAAGGGAAGAAGGCTAGCTGAATACACGATAGTCAGTAGATTTACGAAGTTATTAGGTTACTGACCCCAGCTAAGAGATATCTATAGTGTCTATGGATGCTTAGAATAAATCTACCAGCGTTCTATCACGTCTTGGTCTCCGTAGGGAAAGAGCCAAAGTGGTAGACCGAGGGAGCCCTGGCATAGAACCGCAGAAAAAGAAAGGACAGCCAAACGAAGAATAGGATCTCTATTTTTCTCGGTCTCCACCTGCTATCCCGTGAAGTCTCCTGCTTTGCGCTGACGTCGAGTTCTCTCGCGATTCTATCCGCGCGTTCGACGGTCGAATAAAAGTAAGAAAAAATAGAGGGCTGTGAACAGTCTATGCCTTCACTGATCATTTTAAAACAAACCTACTCACCTATTGTCCACACAAGCACTGCCTCAACAGGGCTGATGCCTTCATCAATGTCGTTTCCATAGAGACAAAGGCCTGCCTCAAGTCGCAAACTGTCCCTTGGCCCCAGTCCAGCTGGTTTTACCTCGGCTTCTTTACTTTCTAACAAGGCTTTGGCCAAATCAACAGCTCTGTTTTTATCTACAGACAACTGGATACAAGTACAAGGAGAGAGATTGTTTTAAAATTACAGCAGATGTTCGTTACTTGTACAGTGTAGGCATGCGAAGTCTTGTTTTGTAGAGTTGATCAGCAGGTGGTGGAGAGGGAGAAAAAAAAGTAAATAAATGAAGGATTATTGAACGAAAGAAGAAACAAAGAAACGCACACACACGCACTCATGACCAAACCCTCGCATGCAATCTCGCACGCACGGACGCACGCACGAACGCACGCATGAAGAAAACATATAAAACGAAAAAAATATATATTTTATCGCCCCAATGAATGAACAAGCCAATGGTACGTCATGAACAAACGAACGAATGAAAAACACGTACATTTACCGACGAATACCCGAGCTGCCGACATCATACGACCTACGAAAAAGGAATTCCTCGTCGGAAAAAGAGAACGCCTAGATGCCGAGGTCAGGGTGACTTCATCAACTGATTGCCCCCGAATTCCCAACAACTAAATCAAAGGCAGTATATGTTTATCACGCTACGTTTCTATCAGGATGGAATATTTTCAAAGTTTTGGGGTCAGTGAATGACATAAGCTTGTGAACAGGTAGCCTGCTTCTTTTTTTCCCTGAGCGTAGAGTTGTCCTGACCTCAAAGCCATCCTCTCCAGTGTAGCCACACCTAGTAACTCGCACATCCTTGATTCCAAACACATCCATTACACCACCATGCATAAAGAACATTTTACTGAGGTCAGTTTGAACACCGCTCTGAAGAACTTTGGCAGCTTGAGGACCTATATAAGAGCATTGGATCCAGAGGTAAGACTCTAGACTACATGTTAAACTCCAGGAACAAAGCTACACCCTGGCATAAGATGTACTAACTTGTACTGGTCAATAGATGAAGACTGCTTGAAAGCCAATTTGAATTAGATTACACCAATATAACAAGACAATAACATTAGAAAAAGATAAAATACAGAGTTGTAATTTACAGAGTTTTCAAGTAGGTGGCTAAATTAGTTGGAGTAGATGGTTGATTTTGTAATATTTTTTTAAGAATTGGAAATAGAAAAACCCTGCAGAATAGCTGCCAGGGCTGAGATCATAAAGAAGCTCTGCATTGGATAATTTTGCCAGCAGCTTACTAGTCATGTGTGACAATTAAAATTATTACTTTCTATCTAGACAGCTAAATTATAACAAAAATCAATAGTCACATTGTGAGCATTATCAATTAATGATAAAATGAAATATTTTATAAACCATCAACTGTCATAGAAAAAAAAGCTTTGATTATATATGGTAATGAAAATTAATGTACATGCCTACATGTACACCTTGTAAGAAAGGAACACTTAAGAACATACAGAGACGAAGAACTTTGAGGCTAAAATTTGGGAGAAGTCAATATTCTTTACCTTGTAATGCAACAAGGGCTTTGTTCTCAAGAACTTCTAGAGCAACATCTAGATCATTACTCACAGCTTGTAGTCTTTCCTGTTAGAAAGAAGTAATGTTTACACTATGCAATTTGTGTTATCTTGAGTATGTGATCTTGTTATCTTCTGAAAATTAATTAAATGCCAATTTTGAAATGGAGTGTGAAGGCCTGTTCAATGTATGAACTCTTAGAGTCTCTTCATGAAGAGAATTTAAAATTATTGTGAGTCGATAAAATAAATGTTGCGGACTTTTGAACAGATTTCGTACGGTCTTCTATAAGCCAAGGTCCCCTCACCCCCCCCCCCCCCCC